GTGTGGACCTACACTGGTATCACGGTTCAGTTCGGTTGCCATTATCATGCCATCGATTTGATTAAATTGGATATCTGGGTTCTTCACGGTGCATTGACGATGCTTTCCATTAACAGTGTTATATTTTGGTGGGGGGGGGGGAGGGGGGGGTACAAAAAGCTGTCTGTATAAACACACACAGACACACAGCACCAAGTAATCGACTGCGACACACAGCATCATGCTCTCTCTCATTCACACACAAACATAGACGGCACCTAACAAGTAACACACCGCATCACGCTCTCTTTCTCATTCACACACATAAACACACACACACGCGTGTTTGCTCGCTCAGGAGCAATATTGTTAGACCGCCCGCACGCCAGCAGGTCAAACAAAGAAAGAGAGAGAGTTTACTTTCATTCTCTCAATGGCAGTGAAATAGGGGCTTCTGCTGTGAGTGTCAGTGAGAGACCGTCCAGCAAACACACACGCAGTGAACTGTGCACAGCTTCTGTGTTTTTAAACAGTTGGAGCATTGTAAATACTCGCCATAGTAAGCTCAGAGACACACAGCGCATATAAGATAAATGACGTGATAATAACCGGTTATGATTAACGGTGCTTTCACACTAGCACTTTTGGTCTGCACCCGGGTTCGTTTGACCTCATAATACATTACATTTAGCTAGTGTAAACGTGTCTTCTGAACTTGGGTGCGCACCCATGAACCGTACCCGTGTCCGCTGAAAGAGGTGGTCTGGGGTACGGTTACATTTACATCTAGTCATTTAGCAGACGCTTTTATCCACAGCCACTTACAAATGGTTAATTGGAACTCTGGTGCGGTTCACTTCTGATGTGAATGCCATCGTACCAAATAATGGAAGTGAACCGCCAACTCAACAACAAACTCTGAAAATCGTTTTCACTATATTCGTTCGTGTGTGTGTGTGTGTGTGTGTGTGTGTGTCACATTTCGTACCTAGGTGACACGTGAGACTGAGCCAGGGTAAACACAGTGATACTCAGTGATGTCTGCTTGTCTCCTCCACACACAGCTTCTGCAGACACTGTGTGATGTTCTGAATGTTGATAATATGTTTGCGGCAGATGGACGCAGAATGATCGCGATGTGCGGACGTCTTTCCATTTTGCTGCTTGCTTTCGTGACCGTCACCTAGCAACGGCCGTAAACACAACAGCAGCTGGATGACGCAAGCGTACCGGTGTTCAGACGGAAAAAAGACAACACAAACCAACTGGGGAGGTGGCAAGGGGGGGCAATCGAATTTTGGTATGGTCCAGGCAATTGATCCAAGTGTGAAAGCACCCTATTACTGAATCGATACCGAATTGTCCTCGTCTGCATCGCGGTGCACCGAAGAAACCATTAATTTTGACTCCCCTACTGTTCAGAGAGGTCATGTTTTGATCTTTGATTGGTCTCACACAGTCAGGTGATGCCATTTTGCAGGTCAGAGTTCACCCAGCATGAACTTTCTAATGCATTGAACAGCCAAACTGGTCCCACAAGCTTGCGTTTGCGGTCTTCCACATGTGCGCACGTATGAACGTAAGTCTATGTGGAGAAAAGTGCAGTGTGACCGCGGCCTAACTCTGAGACTAAAGTGAAAGAACACATTTGTGGAAGTAAAGCGCTGTCGTCACCATTAATCAACAACAGAAGACTAAATGAAAACTTTAAGACTGAAATGAGAGCATGTGCTCTTGACAATAACGTTGTAAAATACTGTAAAGTGTAGATTATAGGAGGATGGAGTTTACATGCTGATGTGTGGGAGTTCTAGATGGCATTTCAGTGTTACATTAGGAGATTTCTTTAATCATGTACACCCGATCAAACTTAAATGAACTGAATCAGCATGTTTGTGAACCGTCCCACTCCTATATATACAGTGTGAGTGGAAAGGATTCAGACGCCCTGAAATGTTTCACTCTTGGTTATATTGCAGCCGTTTGCTCAAATCATATTACGTTGATCGTTTTCCTCGTTTATCCTTCTCTCACCTCTGCTCATGAGCTTTGGGTCATGACTGAAAGGACAAGATCTTGAATACAAGCAGCCGAAATGAGTTTCCTTGGCAGGGTGGCAGGGCGCACTCTTATAGACAGGGTGAGGAGCTCAGACACCCGGGAGGAGCTCGCAGTAGCTCTGCTGCTCCTCCACATCCAGAGAGGTCAGCTGAGGTGGCTCAGGCTTCTGTTTCAGATGCCTCCTGGATACCTACCTAGGGAGTTGTTCCAGACATGTCCCACCTGGAGGAGGCATCGGGGAAGACCCCAATGAGACTATAGCTGCGTCCCAAATGGCACACTATACACTATGCACTCATGCACTATGTACTTATGCACTTACACACTCAACAGGAAAGTATATGTATGTAGTGTTGTCCCAAATGGCACACTAATGTTTTTTTACTAAGCGGAAATTCAACCCGTTTCCCTGATGACGTTTGACGGTTGCCAAATCATTGAAATAAATGACCAAACTATCAAATAAAACCTGCCGTGAGTATTGCCGCATTCACCATCGGGAGGCGCTAACATCACTCTCGTAGGAGAATTTTGCTTTCACCATCCAAAATGAATAAAGTTATTCAACATGTGCGTCCGATAGCTCCGTCCCTTCCGCTACGTAAGCAAACCTGCGGTCGTTGAGTGCGTGAAGTGTCCATCATTACACACTTCATTTTAGCGGCTGAATGAGTGCATCATCCGGGTAATTGAAGTGCTCTTATTATTTTTAGTGTTTTCAGTGTCAACACACTACTTACACTATTTATACTACAAAATGGCGTAGAATAGTGCATAAGTATGCGATTTGGGACGCAGCTTATGTCTCTCGACTGGCCTGGGAACATCTCAGCTGGAGGAAGTGTCTAGGGAGAGGGAAGTCTGGGGTTCTCTCCTAAGATTGGTGCCCCTGTGACCCAGCTCTGGATAAGCGGATGAAAATGACTTGACAGATCTCAATAATGACAGTTTTGTAATGGAAAGAGCTCTTGGGCTGCCTGGCTGAAAATGAGAAGTCCGTGTGCATTTAGCCAATTGTGTCTCTGAGCTCTTCAGGCAGTTCCTTTGACCTCATGATTGTCATTCGCTCTGCTAGACCGGTGTGTGGCTTTCCTAATCAAGTCAGTCAGTGTAATCAAACACAGCTCGACTTAAGTAAAGGTGTGGAAGCATCTCAAGGATGGACACACCTGAGGTGAAGATACGAGTGTCACAGCAGAGTCTGAATGCTTATGAGCATGGTGATGTTTCAGGTTCTCCTTTTCTAGTCTGCAGAAACAGTGCTGTGTTTTTCTGTCAGTGTGGGCTGCTGTGTGGACATGACATGAGCTGCAATAGGACAGAGTGACGCCTTTATGTGCGTCTGAATACTCTCCATGCGCACTGTGTGTGTTTATATTAAATGTGCACTCATAATGTACACTATAGATGAAATGTTGAATTCTAACATGTTATAAGCAGATGTCTGATCATTTTCAGCAGTGTAATGTAGAGCTTGACCTACAGAAGCACAGCTTTGTTTCAGTCTGAACATTTTAATGCACATTTTTAATTAATTGAGTTAATTATGAATGAAGGAGAACTGAATTAGCATATCTTATTGATTTATGAACAAAACAATGATGATTCTGGCATGATGTTAATGTGTGTGTGTGTGTGTGTGTGTGTGTGTGTGTGTGTGTGTGTGTGTGTGTGTGTGTGTGTGTGTGTGTGTGTGTGTGTGTGTGTGTGTGTGTGTGTGCGCGTGTGTGCGTGTGTGTGTGTGTGTGTGTGTGTGTCATGTATTGAATCTTGAAGAGATGATGTTGTACTGATGTTGATGTAACTTAATTCCTTTGATTAGCTTTTATAATTTAATCACGTTTCTCACATTGTGATGTGTGTTTTAATAAGAGAGACCATGTGGTTTAGTTTTTACACACACACTGAGACTCACTGATGATTCGTTAGCCGGATGAATCA